GGGGAAGCAGCTGGGCCTGGCCTCTGCTGCTTTGCCTGGGGAGGGGGCCGAGGAGGCTTCACTCTTTCCTAACCCCCCTTCTCTCCCCCTCCCACTTTCCCCCCCCCCCATGCCCAGATGGGTGGGCAGGGAAGACCCCCTACCCACCCAAAACTTCCGCCCGAGCCGCGATGCGCGCGTGTTTGGCGGAGGGAAAGGGGACGACCGGGGAGGGCAAAGAGGGGGGGACCCCGATTGGGTGGGTGGGCTCTGCGGGCGGGGACCCCCGCGTTACATAACGCCGTGTGGCTTTTTTTTTTTAAAGGCCGGCTTCCGGTATGACTCCGAAGCTGCCTGCGCGGCTTAAACTCTGCGTAAAGGCTGCCCGGCGTGGCTGGGGTTGCTAAGAGAGAGGGAGAACGTGCGGGTGGTAGTGGGAACGCGGGGAGGGGAGAGCCAGAGAAGCCTCCCGGGGGGGTCTCCTACAGCCAAAGGCAGGAGACCCCCCTTGGGGGCGGTGGGCAATGCCCCCACTTTCCCCCCCCCCCATGCCCAGATGGGTGGGCAGGGAAGACCCCCTACCCACCCAAAACTTCCGCCCGAGCCGCGATGCGCGCGTGTTTGGCGGAGGGAAAGGGGACGACCGGGGAGGGCAAAGAGGGGGGGACCCCGATTGGGTGGGTGGGCTCTGCGGGCGGGGACCCCCGCGTTACATAACGCCGTGTGGCTTTTTTTTTTAAAGGCCGGCTTCCGGTATGACTCCGAAGCTGCCTGCGCGGCTTAAACTCTGCGTAAAGGCTGCTGGGGTTGCTAAGAGAGAGGGAGAACGTGCGGGTGGTCGTGGGAACGCGGGGAGGGGAGAGCCAGAGAAGCCTCCCGGGGGGGGTCTCCTACAGCCAAAGGCAGGAGACCCCCCTTGGGGGCGGTGGGCAATGCCCCCACTTTCCCCCCTTCCCCAGTCGAGAAACACGCGAGTCCCCGGGGAAAGCATTCACACGAGACACGCGTCAGGGCACCGAGCAGGCAAAAGAGTAGGGTTGGTTTGTGTGTGTGTGGGTGTGGAAGGGGGGAGGGCTGGTGCTCCCTTTCCCCAAGCGCGGCGCCCCCTTCCCGGGCTCCCCCCGTCGACGCGCCCCCTTGTCTGACCCTTCCCCACGTGCTGCAGCGCTGCATCGGCCGGCGGCTCTACGACGAGAACGAGGACCTGTCCGACGTGGAGGAGATCGTCAGCGTCCGCGGCTTCAACCTGGAGGAGAAGCTGAGGAGCCGCAGCTACCGCGGGGACTTCGTGCGGCCCATGGACGGCCAAGGTGAGCGCGCCAAACGCCGGTCGAGCCGCACGTGGTGCCAAATCCCCCCCCCCCGGCCCGGCTTCGTATTTCCCGCCGACCCCACGACGGGCTTGGGGAATCCGGTGACGCCGGGGGAAGCCCGGCTGCAAGCCCGGGGAAGGAGGAGCCGCTCCCTCCCTGCTCTTCCCCGCGGGGGTCCCTGCCGCCCCTTCCCCACTTGGGCCCTGGGCTCCAGTCCCCGCCCTTTTTTAACACCCCCCCTCTCTTGGGGAGGGGTCGCCTCAGGCCCGTCTGGATGCCCTCCTCTTTCCCCTTTCCCTCAGCTGACCCCTGAAAAGGGAATCCCCCCCCCCTCAGGTCTGAATGGAGGCGGTTGAGGGAGAGAGAGGGAGGGTCTCTTTTTTGAGGGGGGGAAGAGACAATTGAGACCCCCCCCTCTAAGTACCCACCTCAGAGCGCTCCATTATGGGCCATGGAGCCAGGACTCCATGGCCCATAATATCCCCCCCCTCAGACTGGAGGGTTAGCTGTTAGCTAGGGAGAGTGATGGGCTTTGTAGTCTGGGTTCAGGTGGGTTTTAATGCTGGGGACCATTTCTCAGGGCGGAGGTTCCAGATGGGCAGACATAGGCCTGGCTGGGGAGGATGGGCTTGGTTCTTGGGCACGGCTGGGGAGGATGGGCTTGGTTCTTGGGCCCGGCTGGGGAGGATGGGCTTGGTTCTTGGGCCCGGCTGGGGAAGGTGGGCTTGGTTCTTGGGCCCGGCTGGGGAAGGTGGGTTTGGTTCTTGGGCCCGGCTGGGGAGGATGAGCTTGGTTCTTGGGCACATCTGGGGAGGATGGGCTTGGTTCTTGGGTCCGGCTGGGGAGGATGGGCTTGGTTCTTGGGCCCAACTGGGGAGGATGGGCTTGGTTCTTGGGCCCAGCTGGGGAGGATGGCCTTGGTTTTTGGGCCCGGCTGGGGAAGGTGGGTTTGGTTCTTGGGCTCGGCTGGGGAGGATGGGCTTGGTTCTTGAGCCCGGATGGGGAGAATGGGCTTGGTTCTTGGGCCCAACTGGGGAGGATGGGTTTGGTTCTTGGGCCCAACTGGGGAGGATGGGTTTGGTTCTTGGGCCCGGCTGGGGAGGATGGGCTTGGTTCTTGGGCCCGGCTGGGGATGGTGGGAGTTGTAGTGCCAAATAACTGGAGAAGCTAGAACTGGATGGATAATTTGTCCTGGGGGGGGGGGGTTCTTGTAGCTTACAGGAACTGCTTTTCAATGAGCATTTTAAGTCCATTTTCCCCAAAAGTTGCCTTTTTATTGAGTCTGCTGAATGTTCTTAGGATTTGGGGAGTTTTTTCCCCCAGAACAAAACCAGCTTTTTCAAATGTTTAACTTGGGCTTCCATCGATTCAACCTTCATTAACTTATGAGCGCTTACCGATTAAAATGTAATTGCGGGAGAGACGGTCGAGATCTCAGTGGCATCTTGAACTCAAGCCTCCATGGGAGGAGACGCAACTGGTTAGCCTTGAGTCTGTTCCCCTTTGCTGGTAGCATCCTAAGCTACCTCGCAGGGTTGTTGTGAAGAGGAAAAGCCAGAGGCGCAGAGTTATTAGGATGGGGGGGAGGGCAAAGGTAGCCCACGCTTGGCATCTTTTGGAAAGAGAGGATATAATGTTGTTGTTGTTAGTTGCGAAGTTGTGTCTGACCCATCACAGCCCCATGGACCACGTTCCTCCAGGCCTTCCTGTCCTCTCCTATCCTCTGGAGTCCATTGAAGTTCAGGCCGACTGCTTCGGGGACTCCATCCAGCCCCCTCCTTCTCTGCCGTCCCCTTCTTCTTCTTCTGCCCTCCATCGTTCCCAGCATGAGGCTCTTCTCCAGGGAGTCCTTCTTCCTTCTCATCAGTTGGCCAAAGTCTTTGAGTTTCCTCTTCAGGATCTGGCCTTCTAAAGAGCAGCCAGGGCTGATCTCCTCTAGGACTGACCGGTTGGATGGCCTTGCAGTCCAAGGGACTCAATGCAGGAGTCTTCTCCAGCACCAGAGCTCAAAGGCCTCCATTCTTTGGCGCTCAGCCTCCCTTATGGTCCATCGTTCACAGCCATCCGTTGCAACTGGGAAAACCATAAGCCTTGACTGTATGCACTTTTGTTGGCAGGGGGATGTCTCTCCTTTTTAATCTGCTGTCTATATTTGCCATCGCTTTCCTCCCCAAGAGCAAGCCTCTTTTGATTCCTTGGCTTCCGTCCCCATCTGCGGTGATCTTGGAGCCCAGGAAAATAAAATCTGTCACTACCTCCCATTTCTTCCCCATTTATTTGCCAGGAATTGAGAGGGCCCGGATGCCAGGATCCTAGTTTTCTTAAGGTTGAGTTTCAAGCCAACGTTTGCACTCATGATACATTAATATAATTCTCAAAACTGAAAAAAAATGGCAGAACCAGTACTAAAAAAAACCATACCCCTTTGTTTTAAACCGTACACGTATCATTTCATTCACTCGGCTGAAGGACGTAGGTTGAGGAAGGAGGTTATAAGAGTTTTTCTTTGCAAACCTAAACTCAGCGTCTGAGTTCAAACTTGCTAAGCTAAAAGCAAAGAAAACTATTTCAATTTTCAATTTCAATTTAATAAAATTTGTATGCCGCCCGCTCCCTTGGGACTCCGGGCGGCTTACAGGCAGATGAAAAGCATATAAAATATAAAATAAAAGGTACAATTATTAAAATTACAATTTCGATTTAATAAAATTTGTATGCCGCCCGCTCCCATTGGGACTCTGGGCGGCTTACAGGCAGATAAAAAGCATATAAAATATAAAATAAAAGATACAATTATTAAAATTACACATCATCCATTCTGTCTTAAGTGGGGCTGGATATTGATCAACAGCCCCCAGGCCTGCTGGAACAGCCCCAGGTCTTGGGGGCTTTCCGGAAGGCCGGGAGAGTGGGAAGGGTCCGGATCTATCAAAATTATGACTACAATTCAACGCCTACTCTTCAAGAAGTGTTGATTTCTTCCGCAGTTAGTCCTTGACTTATAACCATCTGTTTAGCGACGGATCAAAGCTTCAAGGGGGCGGAAAAAAGCAACTTACCGACCAGTTCTCACGCCCAACAACCGTTTCCCACGGTCATGTGATCAAAATCCCACCTTTCCCCGAGGTCACGTGACTGCCATGCGGCCTTCCCAGCCGGATTCCAACAAGCCATGTCAGTGGTGGGAAGCTGGGATTGCCTTAACGGCTGCTTGATTCGTTTTAACGACTGCTCTGCTTAGCAACGGTGGCAAAAAAAAAGTTTTAAAAAAAATCGGGTGCGCCACTCGCTTAAGAACCGCCTTGCTTAGCGACAGAAGTGTTGATCCCAATTATGGTCGAGGGCTATCTATATTTGTCAAGATTTTTTTTTAAAAAAAAAACGGCTGAAATCTTACAACTGGTCTGTCTCTGAACTTTTCGGCTTTTTTCTTTTTTTCTTTTTCCAGATTTCACTTTTGAATACGTGCAGCAGGAAGCGTTAAAAGTCCCACTCATCTTCCGAAGTAAGACTGGACTGGGAATTAAGTAAGGCCACTCTACTCTTAAATCTATATCATCCTGTGTCTTTTATCTCAAGAGGACTCGAATGTTGGCAACTTTAAGCCTGGAGGACTTCCAACTCTCAGAATTCCCCAGCCAGCTTTGCTGGCTGGGGAATTCTGGGAGTTGAAGTCCACCAAGCCTAAAGTTGCCAAGGTTGGAGACCCCTATTTTATCTAGTCTTATAACCAAGCTGGGATAAATGATCAGACTTGGTGGGTTTTCAGCTGTGGGAAATCCCCGTTCTTTTACCTTGAGGAAAGATGCTACAGAAGAAAACATTTATTATTATTATTTATTATATAGCTGCCCAATCATACATAAAGCTAAAGGTTCCCCTTGTACATGCATGCTAGTTGTTCCCGACTCTAGGGGGCGGTGCTCATCTCCCTTTCAAAGCCAAAGAGCCAGCGCTGTCCGAAGACGTCTCCGTGGTCATGTGGCCGGCATGACTCAATGCCAAAGGCGCACGGAACGCTGTTCCCTTCCCACCAAAGGTGGCTCCTATTTTTCTACTTGTATTTTTAAAATGGTTTGGAACTGCTAGGTTGGCAGAAGCTGGGACAAGTCACGGGAGCTCCCTCCGTTAACGCGGCAGAGCTGGGGATTCAAACTGCTGAACTGCC